CGGCTGCTGGGTGGGCGCCCCGGGGAAACAAGGGCCGGGGGAGCTCCGGGATCGCTACGTCCCTTCCCACTCGCGCGCGCCAGCCGTGCCCAGGGGTAGGACCGGCATGCCAGCTGGAGCAGTGGGACCTCGGCGCTGCCCTGTCGCGAAGACAGGCGATTCTGCACACTGATGAAGGAATGTCCAGGGAAAACCCAAGTGGCGTGTTTACTTTCGACTTGCTTCTTAGGTGTCCACGCAGAACACACGCACGGGCACGGGCACACGCGCCTGCTTTCAGCCTGAACACCCCCACCCTGACCAGGGCCAGACAGAACTCTCAGAGCATCAGGGACTTCTTAAACAGTTGAGGACATGCTTTTCTTCTGCCCCTAACCCTGGGTGCGGAGTTGGCCTGACGCTGAGCGTGCTGCATTTCAGGTCTGTAATTCTAATGCCGGTGTGGGGTTTCCTAAGGCCCACGTTTCCCCAGCAGCCACTCCTCGAAGCCACACCTCAGCTGGTAGACGTACTACACACAGATTCACAGGCTTGTATATGCACACACAAGCGGGCTCGGTTTTTAAATTCATCAGCATGAAAATAGCCCCTAAGAGAACAGGACAAGAGGACAAACAAGTTGCACGTGCTTAGTGCTTAACTATTTTTATCTCTGAGTCTTTAACGAATTGGGCACCGAGAAAAAAATGTTTACTAAAGGTACAGCAGCTTACCCAGCAGGCAGGCACCGTCATACGGGAACGCTGCCTTACCGTGGTCGGAACACCTTGACAAAGCGAGCCGCAGTGTATGCTCCTGCGTTCCAGCCCCCTCTTGGTTTTATTCCTACTCTAAGATCAGAGCATTTATTCTTAAGCCAAAAAAGAACACCAGATTATTTTTTGTTCATTGTAGCCAATCAGCAAACGTGCCACATTCTCACCGGTAGGAATAGGCGCCTTGGTACAAGTTTTATCTAGAAAGGGTGATGGCCATAGAGGCTTCTTTGGCTTTCTGATGATGGTGACATCCATGGGCAATTCTGCCTTTCTGATGATGGTGACATCCATGGGCAATGGCAGGGAAGTGTTCTGACCTGGACACTCACTCACCTGGGATAGATATTCTTAATGGAAATAGTAGAAATTCACAGTAATTGTACAATACCACGATTTAGGAATCTTCTCGACTGTGTCTTAAACCCCCCAAATTATTAAGAGGAATTGAAAGCCTTTGCACTTTGGGGACCCAACATGTGCGTGAGGAAATGAGAGGACAGGGCTGGAAAAGAAATTGCACTTCTGCAAAGGGGGCAGCCAGAAGGAAACCGGCCCCTATTCCCCGACAGAGAGGAGCTTCCTGATTTCTTGTGCTGCCCTAGAGCCTCACCTTGTAAGACTGAGTCTGGACGTGGCATCATGGCTACTAAACAGGCTCAGGTCTGGCCTGCGTTAGTCCTCGACTAGCATTATGTATTTGAGAGTATTCCGTATACACTTTCCATGGAAAGGGTGAGACCATTTCTCTGTTCAGATTCCTTGCTTGTTAGACTCCATTTTGAAGCACAAGGGCTTCCAAGGACTAGATAACATTGACTGTTTGTCTTTGGGTACTCCCGGGTCGTGAGGGAGCACCCGCCTGAGTCAGGAGCCCTGGCTTTAAATCCTATAATAGATCTGTGCCGGAGACCTTCCAACAACCTGCCAAATGCAGTACCACAGAATTCCACTTTCCAGGATGTCTTTCACTTCCAAGAGCTGTTGCCAGGCTGGATTCTAGGAGTGGGGTGGCACCAGAAAGAGAACAGAACAAGATGCAGGGAATGGAGATTGGATCAAGAATCTGAAAGGCCTGTGTTTTCCTTCTTCATTCTCCAGGCTGCCAAACAAAAAGCTCTTTATTGCCAGTTTTCGCCACCTACTGGCTGATGTTTAGCTGCACAATTTGGAAAGTTCTCTTCATCAGCAGCAAAAATGTTCCCTACACCTTAGGACATTCAAAAAGAACGGGATTCTAATCTGAATGTACTGATGTTTCATATAGTTACATATGACGTTTTCCCAGCTCTTAACCTTTTTATTTTAAATGAGGGTAGAAAGAGACCACGGACTGTGAGGGAATTTATAAGTAATAGGTAAGATCAAAGAGTTAACAACCTAAAACACTTCTCAAACCATTTGTTATGTTAGGTTACAAATATAAACCACGACCCCAAACAAAACAAATAAGTTAATAAACACAATGAACTGAATAAACTGACTAGAGAGAGTTAAAAACTACTAGTTCATTTAACTTTCCTTTAAAAAAGGAACTGCTTAAAAAATATCTCACAAGCCTTGGTAAGCAATCCAAAATACTAGTTTCCAATTTCAAGTATTGCGTGGATTATAAACACTTACGCCAAATAGTGCCAAGCTCTGCGAAATGGTTTGGATACTTTGTAGGTGAGCATTATACGAAGCCCAGTAATCCCGTTCCAAGTTTATTTACGCTTCACAGCCTTTCTTCTGATCACAGCCAAGTTGCCGGACTCTGTTCTCGCCAGCTCTTCTTACCATCAGGAAGTTCCTTCATTAAATCTAAATCAACGACCCTTACTTTAACTTGGAAACCCACCTATTAATTGATGGTGGCTCCTAAACCTCAAACAAATGTTAACAATAATTAAGCCAACAGCCTTTAAAACGAGGCAGCAAACTGCAGGTAAATCATTCTGTTGTGTAAGTGTGAAAGCGGGCGCATGAGGTTCACTTTTGGTCTATGAAGGAGAGCCCGAGAGATTTGCTTGTAGTAATTTCCTCCTTTCCAGTGAACGACTTTTCATTTAAAGTGAACAAAACTTAGGGTAGGACCTTGCCCTGCTTTCAAGTGCGTACTGATGTCATTGGGCGGAAGCTGCACTAACGGGACCGAAGGCGGCGCGACACCTAGTACGGGCGGATTCGGGGAGCATTTCTACCGTGTGCAGTAGCGTCTGCTCTCAGGCTACTGAGACAGCACACAGTATATCCCGGGTATTAGTTGCTAGTAGCGATCTTAGGTCACTACGTATGTTTCCTAAGGCTGGCTTGACACAGTGCCTTAAAACAACAGAAACGTAGCCCAGCAGGTGGTGTGGAGGTTAAGATGGCTGGATCCCGCATAGCCCACTGTGCAGCGAGTCCATTCACACCAGATGCATGTGCGTACACGCCCAAAAATCCCGAGGAGGAAGGAGAAGGAATTGCAGAGTGGCCATCTCCTCTGGCAGGTGGTTTCTCCCTTTCTCTGGCCAGCAAACTAAACTAAAAGAAAAACAAAACAAAAACCAGAAAGGTGTCTTCTCAGTTTTGGAGGCTGGAATTCCAAAATCAAGGAGTCAGCAGGCCATGGCCCCTCTGAGATCCTGCCTGGGTAGTCTTCCTTTGTTCCTTGCTTCTGGTGGCAGCCAGAAAGCCTTGTCCTTCCGCTGATTTCTGCCATTGCTGTGAGACACATTTTCTGTGTCTCTGTTTTCTCCTAGTCTAAGGTCTTCAGTCATACTGGATTAGGGTCCATCCCAACTAGCTCATCTTAATGATATTTGTAAAGATCCTATTTCCAGATAAGGTCACATGTCTGGGAGTCAAGACTTCGACATCTCCTGGGGTGAGAGTTCAACCCATAATATGCGTCTACAATATGATATCTTTCAAACTTAAGGAGTATTACTCCAGAGCCTGACTCAGTAATGTTAGAGCTGAATTTCAAGGGGCACCATGACCTTTCTAAACTACAGTCTGGCTATTTCACATTTCAGCTCCAAATTCCTCAGAGGCTAGAATGGCTGCTC